CAGATTTAATGCAATCCTCTTGAGTGATCTCCAATCTTCCTCCGGATCCCCCATTGAGCAGGCAGTCCCTATTCACGGACGATAGTGCATTCTTCATTGAATTAGATCTGCATTCCACATATTCGACTGGTCGTCCGTTTTCCTCAGCCGTTGAGTATGGAGTGAGTAATCCCACATTAGCGTCGTATGGTCGCTCTTGACATTAGCGTCGTATGGTCACTCTTACCGAGCGGAGCACTTGAATGCACTTCATCTATGTAGGATAAATCCTTCGTGAAAATGAGATCCAAATGAAATCGTATATAAGTTACTTAACAAAAACGATAGCTAAAAGTCGGTGGGAACTCTCGTAAAATAATATGAAAACAACTTTTGGGATAAAATTATTTGAACTTAATTTGAAGAAATAGTTAGTAAAACCTGCGTCAGATAATGAGAATCCGAGCAATCTTTCGCAACCGAATTAATGAACGAGTAAATATTGTTGCCAGGAGGCCATACACATCACGGACGCGCAAACATGAACAAGAAGGAAAAAAGGCACAAAGGAACTAAGTTAAACCTAACTCAAGGAAAGTTACGCTGATAACACAATGAACTGGGGCTTAGTGCGGGAATTATTTTGTTTAATAATGCAAGCCTGCTCCGTGAGTGCGTATCCATGATAATTGCCATAGAATTGTGAACGCATCTGTGATGCTCCTCCCAAGCCTATGCGACAAGTCCAAAGGAGACCACAGCTTTGGACTGCTTCTCCTGGATAAATTAAATCTTTTAAAAAACGCCTGCGCTCGTCGCTACGTTTTTTTATATTTACTGCAAAGACTTATCTGAGGTGTTTAGGCTAATTGGGTTTAAGCCTAATGGCTGCGATCTCCCAGGCACGGTTCCTTTGGAGAAGAGAGCGAAGTCATAGGAAGTCCAGAATGATATGAAAAGTGTATTCTGTACAAACAGAAGGGAGAATAGTTAGGAAAAAGTCTTGACTAGCGAAGCTCACGTCTAGCAGCGAGGCGGGCTAGGTCCGGAGTGATGCCTAGCGGTAGCCAGAGCCTTGAGGTCTATCCAGACGAAATGAAAGTGAATTGAAGCCAGAATGGGGGAGACGCGGTGCGTGCGTTCGCCAGCAGTGAAGGTCGCGCGTCAGTTTGCCTCCGGCCTGAGGCACTCGAACAATTGCCCTCGCACGAAGTCCCATGCTCTGAGTGACCTCGTCTGTGGCGTCACGATTTAGGAAGGCGTGGGGAAGTAGCAGGCTAGCCTCTATGCGAAATGTCCCTCTTGGTCATTTTCCGGTCTGAGGTCTAAGTACATTATCGGTGTG